AGGACTACAGGCACATGCCACCATGCCTGGATAATTTTATTATTATTTTTTAGAAATGGGGTCTCACTATGCTGGCCAGGCTGGACTGAAACTCTGAGCCTCAAACAATCCCCTGTCCTTGGCCTCAGCCTCTTAAAGCGCTGGGATTATGGGTGTGAGATACCGTCCAGACACAGAAAAACATTTTAAAAGTCTGCTAAAAAGGGGGTAATTTTGCATTTACCAATTAATATGTTTATTATTAAACATTAATAAAACACTTTTTAAAGTTATACTTGAATATGCAATGATTCTTTCATTATTCACCAGCATCTAACACCTGTATATACTCTTAAGTATATTTTAAAGTTGCTGCATTTCATTTAGTTGCTGCATTTTGGTGAAATTTTGTAACTGAAATTTATAAGATGTCTATTAAAACTACTCTCTCTTTCTTTGAGTCTCTCTGACACCATGATCTAGAGTGCAGGATCATGGCTCCCTGCAGCCCTGGCCTCCTGGGCTCCCTGCAGCCCTGGCCTCCTGGGCTCCAGCAATCTTACTGCCTCAGCCTCCTGAGTAGCTGGGACAACCAATGTACACCACCATGCCTGGCTAACTTTGTGATTTTTTGTAGAGACAAGGTCTCACTCTGTTGCCTAGGCTGGTCTCGATCTCCTGGGCCAAGCAATTCTCTCACCTCGGCCTCTCACAATACTGGGATTTCAGGCATGAGCCACCCTGCCTGGCCTTAAAACCAGTTTCTAAAATGTTCTCAACTTTCTCATATGAAAAATTACAAATGTGAAAAACAAGAAGAATAGAGCAATGAACACCTGACTTGCATTCTTGGCCCTAGATTCCACAATTGTTAATATTTTGCAATATTTGCTTTCCTTCATAAGTACATGTATAAATGTTTTTGTGTGCATACATTTTTCCCCCTAGAATTAACTTCCAGACATTAAGACACTTCGCCTTTACCCAGTAGTTCAGTAGTTATTTCCTAGAAATAAAGGACATTCTTCCACATCAGGGTGGGCAAAAACAGGGGTCCTTGGCCAAATTCAGCCACTTTCTTCCTTAAAAATAAAGCTGTATTGGAACACTGCCATGCCCTTCATTTACATATCATCTAGAGCCACTTTTGTGCTCACAGCAGAGTTGTTTGGCTCACAAAGATGAAAACATCTTCTCTCTTCCCCTGCAGCAAAGTGGACATAGCCACCCTGACAGGCCTGCTATGGAGGCTGGGACTAGGGGACTTGGATTTTGGGAGGGTTCCCACCTTTCCCTGAAAAGGGGACTTCTTTTGCCCCCTTTGATGATAAGACATAGCATGAACCAGCTGTCTGCGATGCCTGCGGGTCGTCCTAGCAACCCATCAACCTGGGTGGTCTTGAAAGGAAAGGTCTGCTGCACCACATTCTGCATAGGCACCATTGTCACACAATAAACATCTTTCTGCCTACATTACTAGCCTATTTGTAAGTTTTCCCAGTTGTCCCCAAAATAACTGCTGTAGTTATTTTTAATTTTTTTTAACCTGGCCATTCCGAGACAGAATGTTGAAGCTTTTTTTCTGTCCCAGGATACAATCAAGATTTGCACATTGATCCTGCCCTTCTTGAGGTACGCAGCGTTTGTTCACTTCTGACGTCAGCTTTCTGGAGCGCTCAGGGAAGCGGTCTTGCAGACTGCTCGGTGACCTGGATTTGGGGGTTTTCTCGGGGACCAATCATCGCTTTTGACTCTCCCCTGGAAAACGGAGGTGGACCTGTAGGTTGTCTGGATTCTTGCCCACAGCCGGACCCTGGGCACGGTGCGCACCTGTCCAGCTGGGCGTCCTTGGGGGAGCATGCGCAGGTACCCTGTCGGGCAAGCCGCCTTTCTATGGGTCGTCGGAGCGCCTATGGAAGAGCTTGCTGAATCACTACTTCCGTTTTTCATTTGCTACTTCTGTCGTTGTTGCTAGCCGCGCTCGCAGGCATTCTTTTTTGGGGGGGGGGATCGGAGTCTCACTCTGCCCCCCAGCAGGCATTCTTTGTAAGCCTCGCCCTGCCGGGAGGATCGGCAATCGCCAAGGGCGGTCACACGCCTAAGGGTCCGCGCATGCGCATCGGTGTGACCGGCCCGATCTGTCCCCGCGGCCTTAAGCTCCCTCGACTGCAGTTGCGCATCCCGGCCACTGCGCGGCGCTGGCGTGCACCCGCAGGCTCGCGGGTCTGTGACGTCACTCCACGGGACTGTGTGAGACTGGCGCGGGCAGAGGCCTCGGCCGCCTGCGCCATGGTGTCACGGTGCAGAATGTTAGGCGGGAGCCGCGGGTAAGGCAAAGAATTACACAGCGTTGGCAGAGAGAAGGACAGTTTATTATCCACTTTCCATAGACAGAAAAGGGCTAGACGCTCAAAGGCAAGCGTGGCGCCAAATATGTGGGGGCAGGTTTAAGGGTTCCTTCAGCAAGTTTTTGGGGAAAAAAATTTGTTGACAGCATTCTTGTGTAGTGATAACAGACGAGCTGGCGTCATGGTGTCTGTTCGTTTCTCATGTCATTGGTGACCTAGGCTCCACATGGTCGGCCATGGGGTGGTCAGTTACAGGAACAATGCCTTAGGGGTTGTAGCTCGAAGACAAATTCTTAGAACAAGATAGAAATCTTAAAATTCTTTTGGTCTAGGACAACAGTTTTTGCCCGGGGCCTAGAAACCGGTTATGTCCCTAGTTAATTATTTAGGGTATGTGTTCAGCATTGGTCCGAGTACATGAGTTAGAGTCATCCTGCTTTAGAATGCTGGGGACTCCATTGTCGGGAGCGGATGTGATATAAATAACAGACAAACACTGTCACTGTAACAGGCCTTGAGTAAAGGCCCCAAGCAAAGACAAGATCTCCCTTAATGGCCGCAAACTCGTAGACAAGGTCTCGCTTGAAATCTCTACATACTAATGAAATCTCTACATCCTAACCAAAGGTGCGCTGTGAAGGATACAGCCTACTACTCAAAACGGTGTCTCAAATACCCACACAAGCGAATACACATAATACAGATAAAGCCTTAACTACAACAAGATAACTACAAAACAACTCGCCTTTTAACTAACAACATGATTCCATTATGACTCCCTCGCAGACCTTAAATCCTTTCCAACTGCCCTTAATACTTGATTATAAAATAAACGTGCTGAACTAGTTCTGGGCCACTTCTCCATCAGAGGAAAGTGTCCCACCTGGCCCCAACTTTTCTTTATGTCTTTGTGTCTATGTCTTTCTTAATCTCTTGTCACTCTCTCTCGAGACCTTCAAGACAGCCACATGGGCTGTAGCACTCCATATTGGCTCTGCCCTTTCAAAGAACCCCACCTGAGATCCTGCTGGCCCAACACCTGAGGGAAACCAGTAGGTAACTGAGGACCCGTGGTGAGGAAGCTCCAGAAATACGCAACGTGGCGAGACCTCATCTCTACAATAAATCAAAAATTAGCCGGGTGTGGTAGCGCGTGCCTGTACTG